AAGATGTTTGGGCAGTGTCGGTCTTTAGCTGCCAGGCAGAGAAGCAGTGACGTGAGTCAGATAGCCCGACTTCTGGTGGGTGCCTGCAGATAGGGCAGGGCTTAGGAGGAATCCTGGGCTGCAGGCATTCCTTGACCCAGTGGCCAGGTTTCTGACACTTGAAGCAAGGTCCAGGAGGGGCAGCTGGATGCTGCAGTCTTGGCGCTTTGAAGTCTTGTGAGCCAGTAGTGTGGCAGAGGCAAGCACGCAGTTTAGCAGGTGCCCAGACTAAACCTTGTCTGTACCTGGGGTGAATCGGTCAAAGGAGGCATCCCCTGCATTGATCCATCACCTACTTCGTTCAGTCTACAGAGACTTTTCCCAGCAAGAGACCGTCTTCTGTAAAAGGCTCTAGAAGTAGAGCTTCTTGGGAGAATTGAGGGAGCTCTGCCACTTCTTCACCCTAGGAACCAACTAGACCCAGAGTCTGCATCTGTTAATGACTGGGTTAGGCCTCAGTTTTCCCAATTAAAAATGGGTCCTAGCCCTCTTCTGCCTTTCAGATCTAGATTAGATATCTAAGTCCTTGGAAAATAGCCCAGAACACTTTGAAACTCTTTGTGAAGTTCTCTGATTTTACTTAGAGAATCTTAATCCACAGGAATTAAGTGCTATGGCTTAAATGTCTGTCCAGAGCATAGGGAAACAATTCTAAAATGAAGAAAGGACAAGGGTCAAGAGAGTCTTATGGGACAGATAAGACTTGTGAGCTGAGGGCCATGGGGAGGAGATGGTCATCAACAAGGGCTCCAAGGGAAACCTGTTCAGTGTTGGGCAGGCAGAGGAGTGTGTGCAGTGTCAATACAGGACTGGGCATTCACTGCGGCCTATATCCTCCTGGGGTCCAAGCTGTGTTCCCATTTCTTTACAGGCAACTCTAAACCATGAGGAGCTGGAGGCTGGGGATGACCAGAGGGGAAGATGTGAAGTGCATGGCGCCATGCTCTGAGTTGCACATGTTGGGGTACCTTGAGTCCCCCAGAGGTTCAGGATGTACAAGAACAGCTCAATTGCTCACTTCTCAGGGCCGAATGTGCAGAAATGTTTTTGACAGTGAGAGAAGGTGAGATGTTAGTGTTGGAGTCATAGGTACATGGAGAGATCTTCAGATTAATGCTTCCTCCACAGAGCAGATCTCTAGTGCTGTGCTGCAGCTCCTCTGACCACATGGTGTGATGTAAATGGTGATGCCACTGTGTTCTGGGCAGCAGAAGTCACACTTAAGCCACAGCCTGGACCATTACATCGTGTTAATCAGAGTGCTTCTAAGAAATGGTTAACTCATGAGGGGGAAGTCAAGAATTGATGTCACCAAGAGGCCAAGCTTAGCTGGTCCCTTCTGTCAAGAGCAGCTCTATTTGTGAGTGGTGCTATGGTCATTTCCTCCCATGGAACAGATATTTCTAGTGTTGTGTTTCGATTGCACAGAAGTGACACATAAGACAATGCCACAGAATCTTGAGTAGCTAGAGTTGTGTTTGATCCAGACCCAAATGGGCAGAATGAAATAGGGAAAGTCTGGACTACAGGAATAACGAGAATGATGGGGCCGGTCTTTTAACAACTGTTTGATTCATTGAACATTCATAGGTCCCTACAATATGCCATCATTGGGTTTGACGCTGGGTGATAGACATGAATATGCATTAAATATGTGGTATCTATATAAATCAAAAGCCTTAAATGCCCTTATTTTTCCCCCAAGAAGCCTACAGCTAGGAAAATATCCTATAGAGATAATCTCACTTAGGGATAAAGTTTTTTGAATAAGATGTTTGGCACAATTTATAACAATGAAAAATTGGTCAGGTGCAGTGACTCACACCTGTAATCCTAGCACTTTGGGAGGCCAAGGCAAGTGGATCACCTGAGGTCAGGAGTTAGAGCCCAGCCTGGCCAACATGGAGATATCCCGTCTCTACTGAAAATACAAAAATTAGCTGGCCATGGTGGTGCATGCCTGTAGTTCCAGCTACTCAGGAGGCTGAGGTAGAAGAATCACTTGAACCTGGGAGGTGGAGGTTGTGGTGAGCTGGGATCACACCACTGTACTCCATCACGGGCAACAGAGTAGGACTCCATCTCAAAAAATAAAAAAAAGATAAAATGGAAACCAATCCACATATGGTACAGTTGTGCATGATAATATCAATGTACTAGGCTGGGTAAATTAGGTAGCTGTCAAGTGTTGAGTAACAATGATTTAGTCAATGACAAACTACATATGTTATACAATGGTGGTCCCATAAGATTATAATTCTGTATTTGTACAATACCTTTCCTATGTTTAGATACACAAATACTTACCATTACATTACAGTTGCCTACAGTGTTCAGTACAGTAGTATGCTTTACAAGTTTGTAGCCTAGGAGCAACAGGCTGTACCATACAGCTTAGTTGTATAGTAGACTACACCATCTAGGTTTGTGTAAGTGCACTCTATGATATTCCCACAATAACAAAACCAACTAACAACAACCTTCTCATATGTATTCTTGTCATTAAGTGATGCATAGCTGTATAAATAAAAAGATGTAAAATTGAAGTCTATATCATGACAACAGTATTGTCTTCCCTCACCAGATACAGTAACAAGAAGGAAAAAAGCAAATAGCACTAGCATAATCCTAGAAAAAAAACTGCACTGGAAAGAAATATACAGAACTGTTAAAAACAAAAAAGCGGCTAAGTTTGGGTACTAGAATTTTTCCTGCCTTTGACGGAATTTTTTTTTTCAGATTTTGCATCAGAATTCACATATGCCACAATGGGGAATGTGGAGGAAAACTCTCACAACCTCACTTCCATTTGCCTGTCGCCTACCCAGCATCGAGATCCTAAATGAGTTTTTATTCTTTTCTCTATTTTGTGTGTTTTCAAAATTAGCTTTTACTACTTTTGAGTGTAATCTATAGCTCACATCACACATCACATAAAAAGCTATTTGAATTAAAAACACTAGTAACATTGCTCTTTCTGTATTCCTACAAGACCCCCTCGTAAGCTTGAGGATGAGACATTGTGAAGATGTGATGACAAGAAAGCAGCAGCCATTTTGTGACCATGAGGAGATAAACTCAAATAAGAAAAGCCAACAAAATGATGGGGAAAGGGGACATGTTTTAAGAAGCCTGAGTTCTTGATGACACAATTGCACCGTTAAATTCTGGGAGGACTACCTGTTTAAATGTATGTATATATGTATGTATGTATGTATTTGAGACAAGGTCTCGCTCTGTTGCCCAGGCTGGAATGCAGTGGCATGATTACAGCTCACTGTAGGCTTGACTTCCTGGACTGGAGCAATCCTCCTACCTCCAAGTAGCTGGGACTACAGCCATGCCCAGCTACATAAAGAACTGTAGAGACAGGGTCTCACTATGTTGCCCAGGTTGGTCTCACACTCCTGGGCTCAAGCAATCCTCCCACCTTGGCCTCTCAAATTGCTGGTATTACAGGCATGAGCCACCATGCCTGGCTCTAATTTATTTACTTTCTCAGTTTTTAAGGATTAATTAATATTACAAGAGGTGAATATGCCGTAATTTATTTAATTGTACATCATATTTTAATGGTTACAGATAAGCTTTTGTGCATCTTTATGTTTATATCCATAGGATAGAGAGCCCTGGCAGAGCACCTTGTTGATTGAAGGGTAACAACTCTTCAAGGCTCATCATACATATCGGCCCCAGCTAACCCAGCTGACCCAGCTGACCCAGGGACTGGCATGTTGTAGAGGTTCAACAAGCCAATGTCTGAAAGGCAGCCTCGTCCTTGCCCCTCTGGTAGCATTTCCCGAGTTCTGCTGTCTCCACCCAGGGCATGGTTTTCCCTTGGGCTGTGCTTCTCACGATTCTCTGGCATTACCCTCCACGGCACATCTATGCTGTTGGAACAGCTGGGGAGGCTATCAGAAGGTTCAGCTCCATGGGGGAAAGGCTTTATCTACAGATCTGCCCTTGTGAGAAGGCATCAGCTAACCCAGTTTCAGGGTGACACTGACTTCTCACCCCCTCTCACTGTGGAAACCATCTCCCCACCAAGGGAGCAACTGAACCATTCTTGCAAACATCTGAACCTTTGTGGTGAGCTGAAGCTCTCCTGGTTTGTACAATGCACAGCATGACACCAATCTCATGATTAAAAATTTTCCCCTTCAGAGAGGATCAGCTAAAATAACAATGGGTACTGGGCTTAACGTCTGGGTGACGAAATAATCTGTAGGACAAACTCCATGACAGGAGTTTACCTGTGTGACAAGCCTGCATATGTACCCCTGAATTTAAAAGTTAAGAAAATGAAAAAAGAAAACAAAATTCCTCCTCGGTCTCCCCACATTTATATCTTCTAATACCCCAAGGTTGCCTGTAAAGAGAAGAGACGGCTGAGACCCCAGAAGGAGGCAGCAGCTACAAGCCCCGAGTTCAGCTCTACCGGGCTGCCAGGTGAACTCACAGTCTGCCCAGCATCCTGGGGACCCCACGGCCGCCCCTGCTGTACTTTTCTTCACTGAGGCCCTCTGCCCCCAGACCCGCTATGCCTGTGTGAGTTGTCTTTTGCTCTTGTGCCCCACTCTCTGGCCATAGCTTGGACCCCACTGCCCAAGTCTATCCCTGAGATCTCCAAGTAGAGAACTTCAGAGGAATTTGAGGGACCATTTCCTGAGGAGAATTTTTCTTCCTAAGGGGTTTCAGCAATTCTATTCTCCTGCTCTGGAAGACAGAGGGACAGTGAGTCCCATTCCATGGATGAGAAAATGGATGCCCACAGGGATTTTGACAAGGCGGAGGATTTGGTCCAATTGGTTCTCAGTGGTGTGGCCTTGGCTCTCCTTAAGAACTCAGATGGAACTCCCCAAGGAGAGATGGGATGAGAAATAGTTTGTTCAGAAAACTAAATTTCCAGTAGAGAGACATAGAGACCCAGAACCAAGACAGAGAATGAGAAAGAACAAAAGAGGGAAAGATGCAGAGATTAAAGTGTCAGGGAAAAGAAGACACGCCAGCTTCCTTCTGGATCTCTTTGTCCCCACATCCCCACCCCAAGCAGTGCTGTATCTTAGTTCTTCCTGACTCTCAAGGAAAGGGACCAGGGCAGCTGGCTGGCCTTCTGAACAATGACTTGGGGTCTTTCCGTCCTGTGTCTTGCAGTTGATACCACGTACAACCGGTTCTGCTGCTTCTCCTACACCTCCTGTCGGGTTCTGCAAAAAGTCATAGTTGACTATTTTCCAACCAACCACAATTGCTTCAATCCAGGTGTCATGTAAGTGCCAGCGCTCCTACCCACCCCTCGGGAGAAAGACCGGGAGTTCTGGGGTGAGGTCCCCTCAGAGTACTCAGCTCTCTAAGGTCCATCAAGGTGCTGGACTCCAGGGGAGGCCCCTGCAGTGTTTTCTGACCTGGCCTGGGGCCCACAGAGTCCTGAAGGACCGCCCCTGAGCAGAGGGAAGAGAGCAGACAACAGGAGTTGGCTTTCTGAGGAAGCCCACCTGAGACACTTGGGGAAGTCCTGTGAACCCCAAAGTTAAGGGGAGATTTTACAAGAATGAGAACAGGCCCTGAGATGCCTGGGACAGAGAAGGATGGAAGGGCCACAGTATTCCCCTGCTGAATCCGGTAGGGCTTAACTCTTCCTCCCTTCTCCACAGCTTCCTAACCAAGAAAGGCCGGCACATCTGTGCCAACCCCAGTAAGGAGTGGGTCAAGAAATACACCAAACACCTGAATGCTTCAGGGGCTGCAGAAGCTGTGAGGACCCAGTGACCTTGGTGGGGCCAGGAGGGAGCAGGAGCCTGAGCCAGGGCAATGATCCCACCACCCTGGAGGCCATCTCTTCTGAGAGTTCCATCTGCTATGCCCAGCCACATTAACTAACTTTTAATTTTAATTTATGCATCATATTTCATTCTGAAATTCATTTCTGTTGTTGAACTGCATTACGAAATTAGTATTTTCTCTGACATCTCATGACATTGTCTTCATCCTTTCCCTCCAACTCTTCACACATTCACTGTGTGGATCAATCAGTGTGATTAGCTTTCTCAGCAGACATGGTACCATATGTGTCAAATGACAAATGCTATTGCATGGTTTTGCTCAGCACCACCTTTTAATATATTGGCAGCACTCATATAAAAGGTAAACCAGAATTCTCCTTGTGATAACCCTATTGATTTGATTTCACCTAATCAGAATCACAGATTGACAGGAATTCTGGGGGAGGAGCAGGGAAATAGGAAAAAGGGCAGAAACCACAAGATAGGGACTGAGTACTTCTAGAGTCATGCCAGATGTTTCCCTGGAGATACGTTCCCGAAAAGTTGAAGCAGACACCATTATTTTATAAACCATATTGTAACTGAAATGCCATAGAAAAATTTTCTACTTAAATGAATACCAAAATGACACTGTGATGCATATTTATACACACAAGCTCATTTTCATAAATAAAGCTTTCCTCAGAATGAAGGCTAACATCTTTTGGGGCCTTACGAAATGCTGGGTTCTGGGCTAAGTACTTATATTAGTGAAAGTCTAGCAAACACCATCCACATCCTAGCAAGGACTCCTTACCTGGAAGTTGTCTGAAAGCCTTGGTCATGTTATCTTTGTTCTCCACTCTGCTTTTGGGGAGGATGTTTTCCATGACTACCTGAGATGTGGCTTGGGGTTGGGGTGGCCAGAGTTACCAAAAAAAAAAAAATACAGAATAGATACTTTTTTAGTGTAAGTATATCCCATGCAATATTTGGGACCTACTTGCATAAAAAAAATTATCTGTTCTTTATCTGAAACTGGAATTTAACAGGGTATCCTAAATTGTATCTGGCAACTCTCCAAAGAAGGAATAGCGCTTAGAGAGGCATCTATTTCCTGTTGGAGGTGTCTACTGATTGGCTTAAGTGTAGAACAGGACTTCTCAACCTTGAATTCACATTAGAATTGCTTAGGAGAGCTTTTAAAAATTCCAGTGCCAGGGCCTCACATCCAAAGTTAAGAATTTAATTGGACTTAGGTGGGGCCTGGCATCAGTAATTTAAAAACTCCCCAGGAAGTGTTAACGTACAGCCAAGTTTGAGAATCACTGTTGGTGTGTGCTCATAGGGTGTTTTTAGCCAGCCTTAGGGTTTCAGAGGCAATGCAACTCCGTCCCAAGTTTTGAAGGCATCTGAGCTAGTTATTTTGGGTTCATTCCATTGGATGGTTAATCATAAGCACAGACTCTATCAGATACAGTTATTTCTAGAAGTGGGTTTTTAACACCTCTCTTCCAGCACAGCACTGAGAGCTCTGTGGTCATCTCTTCCACCGCCAACCGGCTCCCTGTTGTATTGACACCGCATTGTCCCCTGCTGGTGAAACAATGCCACAGGCATGAAGGCCACCCTCTTTAGCTACCAGCCTCTGATGAATACAGCTGCAGCTTCACAAAGAGCACGACTGTTCATTGTGATGGTTAATTTTAGGCGTCAACTGGGCTAAGCTAAGGGATACCCAGATAGCTGCTAAACATCATTTCGGAGTGTGTCGGTGTGGTGTTCCGAAAGAGATTAGCATCAGAAGACTAAAGAAGATCTGCCCTCACCAATGCAGGCAGGCACCATCCAATTCACAGAGGTCCCAAACAGAACAAAGAAGCCGAGGAAGGGTGACTCTGCTGTCTGCATTTGAGCTGGGACATCCATCTTCTCCTGTCCTCTGACAGCCACGCTCCTGATTCTTGAGCCTTCAAACTCAGACAGGGACTTGTACCATCGCCTCCTCTTTCTGACCCCTTCTCAGGTCTTTGGACTTGCACCAGGACTGACAACATCTGCTGCCCTGGTTCTCAGGCCTTGGGACTGAATCACACCACTGGTTTTCCTGGTTCTCCAGCTTGCAGATGGCAGGACTTCTTGGCTTCCATAATTGTGTGAGCCAATTCCCCTAATAAATATCTCTGTATTTATATCTGTATCAACATTGATCATTGATAGAATATACATCTATATTCGTAGAGAGAAATCGCCTATTGTTTGCGTTTTTCTGGATAACTGACTAATACATTCATTTTATCATCAAGGTAAATATTTACAAGGAGGGATCTGAGAAGGAGATGGACCGGGCTGCTTTGGGACCTGCTTTCCCGTCCCGTCTAGTCTTTCACCGCCTCATTTCTGCTTTTGTTAACATTAGCTTGGAGTGGAGAGCTCTGCTCTTGTAGTCCTGCAAGCTCCACGTCACTGGTTTTTTAATCAGCTTGGTTTTCAGGCAGCAAGCAGAAAATATACTTCTTTTAAAAACTACTTTTCCCCCCTTTCTCTGCTATCAGAATCAGTTTCAAAGAAAGTTGATTTCTTTCTTAATGGGTCTTACTAAGACTAATGCAAGAAACAGTCTCCAATACCTTGAGTTTTCCTTTTTGTTAAAATCTTGGCTGACAGATGGCTTTAGACTATATAACAGGCCATGGGGTAACCAGCTGTTCTGCTAACTAGAGGTGTCCCCACGGACTTTGACCTCAGCTACTACCCTCAGTCAGTTCTACGTTTGGGGACCTATTACTTGTAACATTGCAGTCAGTCTATATTAGTTAGGGATGGCTTAAGTCACAATGTCAGAAAAAATAACTGATCTGGCTTAAATAATAAAGGGAACTTGTGAGTTCACATAACTGGAGCTTCAAGAAATAGAATTAGCTTCAGGTAAAACTTGATTCAGTGGTCCTTCTGTAGTCCAGTTTCTCCATAGACTATATATGTCTTTCTGAATTTCTGATCTCCCTGCATTTGAGAACTCCATTCTAGAACAAAGTTATAATATATTTGTCCTAGTTACTCTATTAGCAGAATAGCTTCCAGAAACTTCCAGAGCAATGTGGATTGGGAAGAGAATGTCAACCTTGAGCCAAGAGCCTGAACTCCACTTTTATTGGTCTGGCTGGCTTGGATTAAGAGCCCATCTCCATCTCTTAACCCACGGATCAGCCGACTATGGCCTTCAGGCCCAATTTGACCTACTACCTGTTTTTTGTTGTTGTTGTTTGGTTTTGTTTTTCTTTGAGATGGAGTCTCGCACTGTCGCCCAGGCTGTAGTGCAGTGGCACAATCTCAGCTCACCTCAGCCTCCGCCTCCCTGGTTCAAGCAATTCTCCTGCCTCAGCCTCCTGAGTAGCTGGGACTACAGGCATGTGCCACCATGCCTGGCTAATTTTTGTATTTTTAGTAGAGACGGGGTTTCACTGTGTTGGCCAGGCTGGTCTTGAATTCCTGACCTTGTGATCCGCCCACCTCTGCCTCCCAAAATGCTGGGATTATAGGCGTGAGCCACTGTGCCTGCCAACTACCTGTTTTTATATGGCCTGCAAGCTAGGAGGTTTTTACATTTTAAGTGATTGAAAACCAAAAGAAGACTATTTTGAGAAATATAAAACTTGTATGAAATTTGAGTTTTAGTGTCCATAAAAAAAGTTTTATTGGAATCCAGTTGGGCTCCTTTGTTTGTGTATTGTGTATAGCTACTTTCACACAACAAAGCAGAGCTGAGTAGTTGTGAAAGAGACTGTATGATCCACAAAAGCTGAAATAGTTACTATTTGGGCTTTTACAGAGCAAGTTTGCCAACCCATATCTTAATTAATCTTTATGGCTTAGGGAAGCCACAAAGATTTACTGATTTGTTTGAGCTGATCAATGTCTATAATAAGCAATGCTGATGGCCTTAAAATCCCACAAACTACCAGAGGGGTTGCTTTTCCAAAGAGTCATTTAAGGTTGAAAGAGAAAGAACTTGGAACCCAACTAGTATCTACCAAATGTATCTAACTTTCTTATATAATAAATATGTGGTAATATAGATATTGGTATCGAGATACACATTTGGAATGTATGTTCTGTATACATAGTTTTACATTAATATCATAGACACCTTTCATTTCAGTATGTATATCTACTTCATTCTTTTCAGTAATTTCGTGCTTATTATGTGGCTATACCATGATGGTTTAAATTATGCATCTTTTAAAGAATTTTTTAATTTTTAAATTATGCATCTTTTAAAGAATTTCTATTGGTTGTTTTTACAAACAGAGCTGCAAAGAACAGCAATGTGCCAACACTTTGTGTCTTTTTGTTTGTTTTTGAGACGGAGTCTCACTCTGTCACCCAGGCTGGAGTGCCGTGGTGCAATCTCGGCTAACTGCAACCTCTGCCTCTCGGGTTCAAGCAATTCTCTTCTCTCAGCCTCCCAAGTAGCTGGGATTACAGGCACCTGCCTCCATGCCTGGCAGATTTTTGTATTTTAGTAGAGATGAGGGTTCACCAGGTTGGCCAGACTGGTCTCGAACTCCTGACCTCAAGCTATCCACCTGCCTTGGCCTCCAAAGTACAGAGATTACAGGAGTGAGCCAGTTGTATACAAGCCTGGCCCTACTTTGTTTCTTTAGATAGTGTTTCTTGAAATAGATGCCTAGAAATAAGATAGATTGAAGAGTATGTAAATTTTAAATTTTTCTGCAGACTGTGTCATTGCTCTTCAAAAATGCTGATTACCAATATTTCACTTTTTGATACTAAAAAATAGATTGTTTAAAACAGACAAAGTGGTACTTATCAAAAAGTTAATATATTTTGCATTTCTCACAAGTATGTTGAATTTCTTCCTGTTGCATTTTATAGCAGGAATCCTGACTCAGTCTAACTTTCTTATACTTAAAAATATAATGTAGGCCAGGAGTTAGCAAACGTTTTCTTTTTTTTTTTTTTTTTTTTTGAGATGGAGTTTCGCTCTTGTTACCCAGGCTGGAGTGCAATGGCGCGATCTCGGCTCACCGCAACTTCCGTCTCCTGGGTTCAGGCAATTCTCCTGCCTCAGCCTCCTGAGCAGCTGAGATTACGGGCACGCACCACCATGCCCAGCTAATTTTTTGTATTTTTAGTAGAGACGGAGTTTCACCATGTTGATCAGGATGGTCTCGATCTCTTGACCTCATGATCCACCCGCCTCGGCATCCCAAAGTGCTGGGATTACAGGCATGAGCCACCGCGCCTGGCAAACGTTTTCTATAAAAGGCCAGATAGTAAATATTGATATCTTTGTGGGCTGTATAATGTCTGTTGCAACAATGTGACTTCACCTTTGTCTTGGGAAAGCTGTGACAGACAATATGTAAAAGAGTGGGGGT